GTTTATCCCGTTGAAGCCCTGATTTTTTTCAGGCTTCTTCTTTCCAATTGCTTAGATTGGAAAAGTAACTGCGATGATCATTCTTCACTTTCAGTAAGTCACTGAGTTGGGAAATGGTAAAGAAAAACAACAACTTCGCAAATTACAGGTACATGACCAGGTTTAGGAGGGCCTGTAGCCGATTAAGAATAAGCCAATCAAATTTTAACCTGACTCTGCTCTGAAGCTTGCGAGCTTGAGGGATGACTAAGTTATTTCTTTATTTCATTCCCCAAGCCTCCGGGCCAAGTTAGAATTTTCATAAACTCAAATTGGCCTATTGGTCAAAATTTTACATGTTAGCAGGGAGGTGCAAGGATTTTTGACTGATAGCTGAGAAATTATCAAATAAAATGATAACTGAGATGGAGGTATCAGCATCAGTATCAGTAGTGTAAATTACGACAGTATTGTGAGTTGTAGTAGTAGCGTGAGTAACGGTTGTATTGTAAGTAACTGATGTCAGCAACGGTGTAGGTGATATTAGTATTGTAAGTAATGTAAGTACTGTAGGTAATGTTAATATTGTAAGAAGTGTTAGTAGTGTAAGTAATGTTACTATTGTATGTAATTAATTCATGATTTAAAAAAAACTGAGATGGAGGAACTGCTGGCATGAGTTTCTTGCAAGTGTTACTCTCAAATTGGCTACTTTTTACCTTTTTACTTATAAGGCTATAATGGCTTAGTGCGTTTATCCAAAGTTTGTTTCCAACAACTAGGTACATCTTTTCCGAGTTTCAAATAGTTAATATTTATATTTTGAACTGTTTCATGACTCCGCCACGATCGCAGCCGGATCGTTGAGATACACGAAGACCTCGAGGTGCGTCGCGTCGATCATGATCACTGGACCTTTATTGCAGCAAACCCAGCAATCATATGGAAGCCAGCTTTAATCCGGCAGTGTGCGCTATTGAATATTTCTATGTAATTCTCAGTAGCACCAAATTGGAATAAATTTCGCTACGTTGCAAGGTCTAACAATAAATTCAGATTTCAGAAAATCTATATATTTCGCCCGCAGTTTATATTGTTAACTAAAGAATTAAGAGTGCATCCACGATAGGACCAGGCAGGGGCGGCACAAGCTATCCCACCGATTTCGATGAAACTTGGCCAGTTTGAAGGGGTCCACCCAAAACTACTTCAGTCTAAGTTTAAGGA